CCACAGCCGACCCAAGGCAGAAGCCTCTGTCTCAGGTCCTCTGACCCTAGAGTTTTGAGGTCTGGAAGGAACCCCTCAAATTTAGCCTTTAACAAAGGAGGCAGTTAGCAGTTTCACTAGTCATGCAGCCCACAGCCTAGCAGAGCCCATCCCACAGCGCAGACTTCCTGACTCTCTGCTCTGTCCACAGCGCCCCCGCCTCCCACTGTTGCTCTTGTCTTTAATTTTTTGAATGGAACAAGAAGAGACATTTTATATTGACAGAATTTAAAATTCACAACAGAGTTCTCACATTGTGAACTTAAAGTAACTGACAGAGTAGCCTTGAAATCCATAAAGCAAAAACTATTAGACAGAAAGAAAATCTGATAAACCAACAGATGGAGACTATAATAGATTCTCTCACAAGATTCATAGGTGGAGTAGATAGACAAGGAGGGAAGAGAGTTGACCATTTGAGGAACACTTTAACAAGTTTGACCTAAGAAGTATAAGTAGAACTTTGCAGCAAAAATACAGAATATATATTATTTTCAAACATATAACCCTTTTATAATTTGACCATATACTGGGAAACAAAATCTCCATAAATTCTAACAAGGAGAAATTGTTATGTTATTCTATATAACATGTTATTCTATATAACATGTTATTCTGTATGGTAAAAGATGTCCTAAAAAATGTCCCCACACAATGTTTCATGTCCTTAAAGGCATGAAGCAGATGAGGAGAAGACACTTACAACATGGAAAACAGACAAAAAGCTAATAACCATAATGTGCCTTTTAAACTCCTATTAATAAGAAAGACTAGAATAATGGACAAGGGATAGAAGCAGATAATACCCAGAAAAAACATGAAAATGTCCTCAACCTAACGAATCAGGGGAAACACAAATTAGAATAAGATAGTAATTTTGCACATTATATTCACAAAATTTTTAAAGATGAATAATGGCCAGTATTGTGTGGGGAAATAGGCCCTTTTGTATGCTGTTGGCAAACATGTATACTGGTACAGGAATAATCAATTTAGCAAGAGGGAACTATTCCCAGGAATGGGATCTGGAAAGGAAACAGCCTATTACAAGGTGGTTATAAACTGGTTGGTTGAGAGATGCATTCCTAGCGCAACTGATCAGTTTAAAGGGAGTGCTTAAAGTGCCAAGCTTTAAAGGAGAGAAGGGAGGCATCAGCCCCGGAGCCATCCCAGGCTGAACCTGGGATGGACCGTCTGTCCAGTGTCTGCTCATCTCAAGAAGCAGACAGCCCACAGCCAGACCCGGAGCCCACCAGCGCTGACGGTGCTTGGGGAGCACCCCCGTATCATCTCCATGAGGAAAGAAAGATCTCTGTTTTGCAGCTGAGGAAACTGGCTCAGCTTGGCCAAAATCAAATGTGTGATCAGTGGCAGATCCCATTCATTCCCAGCCACACCATGACCACGAGGGTGTTACTGTGAGTGTGACGTGAGGAACCACTGGGGAGGAAGTAGGAAGATTTGGGTGAGAGGTGGATGTCTCTTCTGACAAGGCTGGTTGTATTGTTATATATCTGAGGGGGAGTATGGAGAAGGGGGGTTTCTAAAAGTGCAGTTTCCCCTGAAACTGTTAGAAGGCAAGTCTACTAATCCAGCTGTGTGGAGTGAGGCTCTGGCAGTGGATAGGAAGCAAAGGAGCACAGGTATTGGGAGCGTCGGCCTCCTTTCTGAGGACGCGCCCTCGGTGCAGGGAGCCCAGCCTGCCTGAGCCAGGTCCGGCTCTGCCCTCTAGCGCCGGCCAGGAGGCACACAGCACTCTCTCCCCGCCCTCGGCGGAGAGCCCGGTCCTCACTGAGGGGAGCACCCTGACCCAAGGGCCCAGAGCAAGACTGAGGAGTCGGACCCCAGTAAGGACGGGGAGCTGTGTCCGCTGGGAAAGTCCATGTACCTCGAGTCCATCGGGCAAAGGAAAGGCCTGGGGTCTGAGAAGCCAAAGATCCACCACCGCCCTGGTGGCTTCCCAGCCTTCCTCACAGCCTGTGGGTGCGAGAGGACTGAAGACCAGGGCTTGCAGTGGCCGCAGCCTAGCACTGTCCCTCAGGAAAGCCCAGGGGTTGGGGAGGGAGAGGGGCTGAGGAGAGCATGTCCCCCGAGTGCTGGCTCTCAAGAAGCAGCCCATCCCTGGAACCTCGCAGGCAGGCCCTGGGCACTCGGCTTCCCTGCTGGCTTCTCAGCCCTTCCACGTTACAGCCGGTCCCCCATCCCCATCAGGTATGCTCTGTGCCTGGCACCAGGAAGATACCCTTAACAGAGGGGTTTGGATAAACACAGCAGCCTCACCCTTTAGAAAAGGAAGATCCACATTACAGTTCTGAGGTGTTCAGAAGAAAGCCCAAAACTGTACTGACAAGAAACGAGGGCTGAGGTTTGAGGGGACCAGGGAGCAACGCGGATTTGAGAACCACCCCGACCCTGCCATTTCCTTCCTTGCCTTGTGTCTTTATCTTTTCCTTTCCCTCTTCTTCCTCTCGTGTCTGAGAAAGAGAAGTATCTTCCCTTGTGAAGGTTACCTCCCTCGTCCTTTCCCACTTTCTGCAGGGCTTGGTCCCATCAGCTTTCCTATCTGAATTTCACCTCCACTTTCTCCACCTCTACCGGCATGTCCCCTTTTTCCCACAAATACACTTCAAGTTCCCGTCCTACAAAATGTCTCTGCAGCCTGACCCACGCTGGTCTCTCGTCTCACCTCTCCACAGCTGTGCCTCTGGGGAAAGGGGTCAGTAGCCTTCACTTACTTATCTTTTATTGTCCTGTTTTCTCTCTTTTTTTTTTTTTACTGAGCATTTTATGGCATAATATACAAGCTGTTCTGAACCTTGATTTTTCTTTAACTTAACAGTACTATTAGGGACTTCCCTGGCGGTCCAGTGGTTAGGACTCCACGCTTCCACTGCAGGGGGCATGGGTTTGATCCCTGGTTGGGAAACTAAGACCCTGCAAGCCGCATGGTGCGGCCAAAAAAATAAATAAATAAAATAACAGTACTGTTAGATTTTTTTCTTTCTTTTTTTTTTTTTAGCGGTACGCGGGCCTCTCACTGTTGTGGCCTCTCCCGTTGCAGAGCACAGTCTCCAGAGGCGCAGGCTTAGCGGCCATGGCTCACAGGCCCAGCCGCTCCGCGGCATGTGGGATCTTCCCGGACCGGGGCACAAACCCGTGTCCCCTGCATCGGCAGGCAGACTCTCAACCACTGCGCCACCAGGGAAGCCCTAGATTTTTTTTTAGTAGTACATTAAGAGCTTCCTCATTCTTTTGTATAGCTGCACCACTGTCCAACTTCTGTCTAGACCATAATTTATCTGCTCAGTTCCCTGTTGTTGAATATTTAGGATGTCCCAGTCTTTTGCTGTTAAACAGTGCTGCAGTTAATAACTCTGCTTCGGCACATTGGCAAGTTATATCTGTAAGGGAATTCTTGGCAGTGGAATTGGTATAGTGGGGACCCAGTTGATACAGAAATAAACAAAAATACATCACTATAAATATGTCAAGTGCTAGGAAGGAAAAGAACAAGGTGCTAGGAGAGGAAAACCAGGATCAAACACTGGAGTCAGGAAGGCCCATGGAAGACATGGTTCTGTTAAGCCTGCAGGGTGAGTAGGAGTTAGCAGGCCAAGGCCATGGGCAAGGCCTCTTGTTCAAGGCAGCGTGGAAAGGCCAGAGCTGAGGGCTGTGGGTCGGGCCCTTTCCGCTCGTGTTTACCATCTGAGCCAGCCATCCTGTGTTTCCTTTGAGACCTTGTCTTGCTTCTCTGACCCTGGAAGTAGTATCTTATAGGTATGATAATACCTCACATTTGTGTTATGCTTTATAGATTTCAAAATACTTTATCTCAGAGGGCCTTTACAGCCACCCTACAGGGGGGCGGGGTTGGGGAGCAAGAACAAAAGTGGGCTCCGGAGAGTGAGAGAGATGGTTTGCTGAAGTCACAGCGGTAGCAGGTGGCAGAACCACAACTGGAATCCAGTTCTTCTCCTTCTGCCTGTTCAGCTGTTCATTCAGCAAACCCTTCCGGAGCACCGTCAGGAGGCGGGCACTACGTAAGGTGTGTTTCCCTTCGGTAACAAAAAGTCTTCCAGCACTCAGAAAAATCAAGCTTTTCCCCATTTGTAGCCTCATTTTACCCTCACTGTAGCCCAGAGTAGTTGGCAGGACCCCACACTACAAATGAGACTTAGACACTCAGATAAAGAGGCTTTCTTAAAATGACAGGGCCTCAGGCCTCTCCCTTCGAGACCAGGTTGCTGATTGGACCCTAACCCTAACCCTAACCTGCCCCGAGGGCTGTTCTGTAAACTTCCCCTGTGAGGCTCTTCCATGTTGACTATGAAGACCAGGGAGGGCAGGAGAGCCCTGCTGTCGGCCCTGCCCCGTGGGCAGTGCGTCACAGCCCTGATCTGAGGTCCTGGCGTCAGGGGGCTCCCGAGAGGGGAGCAGGCGGCTCGATGGGAGTGAGAAGGGTGCTGGCGAGGCCGGAGATTTATGCTCAGCACCTCCAGTGCCATCTCCGCGTTGCCCGAGTCACCCAAGTGTCCCTGAGCCTTTCTGCCCTTCACAGCTCCTTCCCTACCCCTCTACCTGCCCCTTCATATGATTTATTCATAAATGGAAATGCTGGTTTAGGCAAAAGACAGACGTTTCCATCTCTTAAGGAAAAAAATGGGAAGTGTAAGCCAAACTAGAGCAGGAGGGACGGTGACCTGGACGAGGAGGAAGAACTGCTTTTCTCTCTGCGGTGGCGGTTTTGAGCGCTAGGGAGATTGAGAAGGGCTGAGTCTCACATCGCCTAGAATTCTCGGTGGGAGACAAACCCTCCTGAACTGGGTGATCTGATCCAGGGGAAGAACAGGCTGCCTCAGAGGACCCCGTTTGTGCCATCCCTCCCCTCCCCCTCCACTGCACCTCTGCCTCCATCTCTCCTCCTGTCCTTTCCGTCCTGTCTCATGCCAGCACCCCCTGTTTTACTTCCTGTGCCTGCCCAGGGAGCAGCCAGGGGACTCCATTTGGTGCCTCTCCTCTGGCACCTGCCAGTCAGCCCGACAGCCTTGCAGATACGGGCAGCCTCCTGGGACCCGGGGCATCAGCTGGAGGCATCCCTAGCAGGTAGGTCCAGATGTTGGGGAGCTTGCCATCGGGCAGGAGAGCCGGCCAGGAAAGCCTGGCCTTGCTTATACCAGCCCCCTCGGCTCCTCCCGTCCGGCAGGACAGAGTTTGCCATCTCCTAGTTCCTTGCCCAGCTCACCTCCTTGGTGCTAGATGATGTGCACGCCGACTTTTCTCCCCATATCACAGCATGTTCGGGATGGCCAGCCAGGTCCCCACGCTCCAGTCGGCCACCACTGGTGGAGGTGGAAGCACAGGGCTCTCCTTTGGAGGTGAGTCTTGCGTGTAGAGACCCAGGGAGGGGATCTAAGGCCAAGAGGAAATTGGGGACCCTGGAGGGAGGGGAGTGGGGAGAGATGCACACCAGGATTTAGAGGAATGCTCAGTTATCACAGTATTAACCAAATGAGAAAAAAATAACCAGCTCTTCATCCCTCCTCTACCCCATTCCACCCTGAGCAGCCTTCAACCCTTTCACCACACCTGCTGCTCACGCCCAGCTGCCTTCCACCAACCCTTTCCAGCCCAATGGCTTGGCCACAGGTAAGCCTCCCAGACTGTCCCCTGGCCCTGACTCTCTCCAGAGTCACCAGCCCAGGCCAGGCTGGTTTAATTTCCAGTCCACCTGGTGGGCAAAAACTAGAGGCCCGTAAGTCACCAAATCAGAATTTCGGAGTTAGAAAAGACAGGCTGCCCCTTCCCTGAACCAGTTCCGAAGGGTTAATGCTGACTGGTAGTGTGGTGATTCTTTTTTCTTCAACCCTCAGTTTCCCTCTGGGAGCCCAGCCTCCTTCCCTTCTGTGTCCCACCTGAAACCATGGCCCTGTTCCCTGCCCTCCTCAGCTGGAGTCCTGTGGTCTCCTGCCCCTCCCCAGCCCCTGCCTCTGCTTTTCTCTCTCCAAACTCACACTCACGCCCCCCTTCGTTTTTTTGTTTGTTTTTTGTTGTTTTTTTGTTGTTCCTCTAAAACCTTCAGGCCAGGAAGAGAGAATAATATTTGCTACCAAGCTGACCCACGTGGCAGGCCCAACACTTAGGGCTTTACATCCGTTATTTGATTTTCACAGCAGTCCGAGAAGATAGGCATGGTCCCCGTTTTAGAGATGAGAGAACTGAGGCAGAGAGGGCTGGTAATTTGCTTTGATTTATGCAGTTTAAGAGGGGGCAGAAAGCTGACCCCATGATCATAACTACCCTGCTGTCCGAGCCACAGGCCACAGGCCAGAGAGGGCAGGGTTGACACGATGCTTGGACGCTGAAGGGTTTCGTGCTCATTTCAGGTACTTCCACACCTCTGGGTGGCGAAAAACTATATCCCATTTCTGTGTCTTGGAGGGACTTAGGAAGAACTGTTCTCCTGCCCACCTTCCAGAACCTCACCTACCTCATGTCCCTCCCTCCCTCCACAGGGTCAGGCTTTGGGATGAGCGGTGCTGGGCCTGGCTTCCCCCAGACGGTGCCACCCACCGGGGCTTTTTCCAGCCCCTTCCCCCCACCGCTCTTCCCCCCACCGCTCTTCCCCCCACCGACCTCAGTGACTCAGCAGCAGAATGGTAAGGGATTCAGACTGCGCCCTCCTTTCTTAGCCCATTCCCACCCCCAGGGACTCTGCTGTGTGTGTGTGTGTGTGTGTGTGTGTGTGAATATTAGAAATACGTATTAGGGAGCCAGACATCTGAGCTAGTTCCCTTTTGGACCAGCAGGGGGAGACCAGGGAAGCAACAGACCTGCCTGTGTCCTCTGACTGTTCCACAGGTTTCTTCCCGGCTTTTGGGAGGCCCCCACTGGCTGCCCACCTTGGGATGTAACTGGGCCTGCCCTGCAGGGAGGCGGGCGAGCTAGGCAGCACTAGCCCCGAGGGGCAGGGTTCCCGTCAGCTGAGTTTTTGCTCTTCCTGCCAGGCTCTTCCTTCGGAGACCAGGGATCTGCCAAGCTGGGGCAGAGGCCACTGAGCCAGCCAGCTGGGATCTCCACCAACCCCTTCATGGTGAGTGGCCGGTGCAGGGCCCGGGCCTGGTGTGGGTGTGGCCTTTCACTCTGGGGGTTGGGACAGAATCCTTCCAGGAGAAGAGGGCAATGTGGGGCGGAACCACGCCCCTTCCTCGTGAAACTTGCTTTGGCCCAGCCAGGGATGAGTGGGCTGGTTAAGGAGCCTCTGCGCTCCCCGCCCCTCTGCTTGCCTCCTAGCTCCCTTATTTTCCCTCCTCCCTCAGCACAGTAATTTTGAGGGAGAAAGGAATCCTGAGCAGCATTTCTTCCGTGGCCTCCAGCTTTTCCTCCCTAATCTAACAATTTGTGGTAATTGTTTCTTTCCAGACTGGATCCTCATCAAGCCCGTTTGCCTGCAACCCTCCAAACACCAACCCATTCTTGTAGCACTGTGTCCGGGGGGCTGCTCTCTGGGGCCCCTCTACTCCCTGGAGCTCCGATGACCACTTGCCTGTGGCAGTTTTGCGGGTCTGAGACCAGATGGGTCTTGTTTCGCAGGGTAGGGGTCTGGGGATGGTGGAGGTGCTAATGCTTTGCTTGGGGCTTGCAGATAAAAGGGCAGCTTCCCGGGTCAGCAACCCCAAGGCTTCCTCCTTCCTCCTCCAGCCCCCACCCAGGCAGGGGGCCCGGGAGGCGGGCTGGCAGAGCCTGGCCTAGAGGAGCCTTGGTGTTTTATTTTTCAAATTACTAATTATGATGACAAGAGTCCTCCTCTCCTGCCCCCAGCGCTCCCTTCACTCCGAACCCTGTGGGCAGAGGAAGCTGGGGGCACAGGCTGAGCTGTGCTCCTTGTGGGAACAACTCCCCACTGCCCAGCTGTCTAACACTGTTCTCCTCGTGGGAAGAAGCACAGTGGGGAAAGCAGGGCGGAGGTGGGGATGAGGCGTGCATGGTGTTGACATGGGATGGTGATCAGACGGGATGTGGAGGTCCTGGGGAGCCAGAGTGCCCTTGGTGCCCTGGCTTGGGACAGCACCCCTTTCTCCATGTTTTTGCTTCCCCAGCTCCCTCAGGATGAATAGTTTTACCTACATACTATACATGCCCAACTTCCGTCAAGCACTTTAGTTAGCTGTGGTGTCATGTTTGGATACCAGTGTTTTATATTTATACATAGAGAATTTTCTAATATAGCCTATTATATAAATATATATATATATATATGCATACACATATGTATCCAGATGCAGCCATTCTTCCTCTCCCAGACAGCTCTTTCACACGGGGAATGGGATCTGTGCCTCGCAAAGCCGGAGCTCCAGGGGATGGTGGGGAAGGAGGCACACTTCTCGACCACCCCGAGCCTGGGCTTTTCCAGAGAAAGGCTTTGTGCAGTTGGCTTTTTTTTTTTTTCCTTTCTTTTTCCCTTGTGCCTCCCCCGCTCCTCCCCCTGGCCCCAGATCTCTGCACCAAAGCTGTTGCAGGCAATGTTGGAAAAGAACTGCATTTGAAAGAAAAGAAATGGCTCTCGTGGTCTTGCTTTGGGCCAGCTTGAGGGGCCTCATGTCAGTCAACGTGACTGCTTGGGTCGGTGCCCATGCTGCTGTTCGCCAAGGACAGAGCCAGTCCCTGTCTGAACTGGAGTCCAGTTTTAGCAGTGGAGGGAGCGGGGGAGGGGGTGCAGAGGAGGACCCGGCATGAGGGTCAGGCAGGGCCTAGTCAAAGTCCAGCTGTCCCAGGTCAGCTGCCTCCTCAGCCCCTCCCCAGACCCTTGCCACCTGGGGATGTTGTGTCAACAGTGTCTAGGCTGTGTGTGTGGTAACAAGACAGCTGGCTTGGGTTAGACACCTCACCTGGGGAGGAGAGGCCCCGAACTCAGCCCTGCTGTGAGCGCCTCTCCCTTTCCTAAGGCTGCCTGGGAACCCTGGCCCCTTCAGTCTTCCCTTCTTGGGATTTCTCTGAGTCTTTCCACCCAATGACCTTTAACCTGACAGCAAGGAGAGGCCGGGACAGTCTTATCACTGATTTACTTTGAGGATTTTTCCTGTAAATACCTTCAGCTGCTGTTCTTTGCGCAGCCAGGGGTGGCCTCCCCACCTTCCCAGGGCTCAGTCCCCATCCTTTCTTGTGTCTGTGGTTCCCGTTCTCCAGCCTCTACTCTCCTTCCATCTCCTGGTGGCGCTCCCAGGGTGGACCATCTTTTTTTTTCCCTGGGTATTCTCTGTCACCCTTGATTATCTGTGTCTTCCCCATTCTCTGCTCAGAGCCAGGGACGGGAGGGAAGCTGGAATCTTGTGGTGGAGAAGGAGGGGGAGGAGGAGCCTTTTTCCCCAGCTCCCTGGCGCCTCCTTTCCTAACCAAAAACACTGAGGTTTGGAGGTGAGATTTAAAGGACCAGCAGCTGCAGTGCTTCTTACTGTTTGAGTCACACTGCCGCTGTTTCCCAGGGATCTCCTCAACTGCTCAGTGCCTGGGCGCAGGACCTCCCTGCAGTCCCCCCTCCACGCTTCTCAGTCACTCATGTCCCACTGGCCAGGGCAGGATGACCAGTCAGAGAAGTTACAACGGGTCAGCGTCCAACTCCAGGGCAGAAAAATCAAGAGTTCGCAGGGCGTAGGCCGAGACGGGGACTGCAGCTGCCTGTCTCGGTGTGGAACAGCCTGGTGCTGCCTCCACCCGGCGTCCTCTCTCCAGGCAGGCAGCAAAGATGGAAGAATCCCTGGCCTCAGGGAATGTCTAAATGACTGGGCTGTGCTCCCCCGCCCCGTCGCCCAGGGCCTCCCTGCAGGCCCTGCCTGGTGGTTACAAATCTGGACCCACACCATGGGGCTGGAAGGACTCACTCAGACTGCCACCAGGCTTCTGACCAAGTGCTCATGTCCCCCTGGCCAATGCTGTGACAGTGCTCTGCAGGCAACAGTCCTCTGGCTTGACCCCAGCCTTCAGCAGGTCACTGGCGGCTGCCTCTGCGGGTAAGGAAGCAGGAGCCAGTGCCCAGGACCTCTGTCAAGCTCTCCGATGGAGGAAGGGGCTGGCGCTGTCCCTGCAGACCCCTCCAGAGGAGTGAGAACCTGGAGGGAGGAGAGAGGGGCACACGGGAAGAGCCTGGCCCTGGTGCCCCAGCTTCCTTACTGGGGGCTCCCCTTTGGTAACAAGAGTCTTCCATAGGCACTTAGAATGTGGAGAGCCCATCCCACTGCTGCCCTGCACCTGGCAGCAGGATGCACAGGTGGACCTCCTCAGGTTGGGGGAGGTGTTCTCACCCAACAGAGCTGAAGTTCTGTTACTTCCTGTCCCGGGGGAGCAACACGAGTTACCAGGGCAACAGGCTCAAATCAATCTTGTCTGGGTAGAGCCAAGGGCAATGTTGTTGCCAGGGCAACTGATTAAGTCAGTCGTTTGGCTCCAGGCTTTTCCTGGTACCCAGCAGGCTAAATCACCTGGCATTGATTACCAACCCACTCTACCAGGTTTGCTTGCCCAGGGCCCAGGTGCTCCAATCCCTGCTGCTTCCTGCTTTATCTTTACCCAGCACTTAGGGGTTCAATGACACAAGGCCGTCTGGAGCTGGTCTCTGTGACAGCGGCTGTGATTTCACAAGGACTGGGGTGCTCCAAGGTGGACTGGTTGGTGGGAAGCGGGAAGGAGCAGATGTGAAGAGACTCTCCTGTGCGTAGCTTCAAATCAAACCTGGGGAGTAAGGCTCCAGGCAGGGGCACAGCAGGTACGTGGCCCCCATGGGTGCCCTGCTCCTCAAGGCAGCACCAAAACTAGGAAGGGGAAAGGCCTGCAGATGTCTTTTGTGTCCCTGCCACTTCTCCATGGCGTGTATGTTGAGGCCACACTGGAGGCTATGACCTTGAATATACTTCTGGTGTCCACTTCAGGATCTCTCACATACCTGCCTCTCCCTGGCCAACACCCATCAACGGTGGAGGCTGCCGCTGGCCCACGTGCACCACCTGAGCTGCCGCCACCTCTCTGGCACCTTGGAGAGGCTTTGGCTGACCTGGGGGGGGTGGGCGGGCACCTGGAGCAGAACCTGGGCGCTGCTGCCTGCTGGCCAGATGCCCATCCTCATGATGCCAGGTGGTGCCCTGCATCACACTTTCAGCATGACCCTTAAAGGGCGTTCAAGAATCTGAGCCTTCCTGCACACCGCACGCACTGTTGGCTTTTCCAGTATTCCAGCTCATAGACCAACCCCTTCCTCCCACGCCTGGGAAGTGGAGGAGCCGGGGTGGGAAGCCCAGCCCTTCCTACTCAGGCTTTCCTGGCCCTTGGACTAGCCGGAGAAAAAGAACCAAGTGGCCTTGCTTCAGTACTCCTGGTACAGCTCCTAACTCACCTGAAGGCACTCCTCCCCAAATACCATCTTTAATAGGGGCCACAGCTGCCCTCTCCCAAACCCTCAGCTCCTCCACTGTAGGTGTCCTACTTGCCATGACAGTGAAATCATAAGGTCCTCTAAGGCCCCCACCCATGTGTCAACTGCCGATTTGTCTCACAGAGTGTGTGCACTGACCGGCGCCATCGCCCCCAACGTGAGTCAGTGGTCCTTGGAAGGATCAGAAGTGGGGTGTAAAAATGTCTGAATCCCAACCCCATTTCAAGCCTCCCGGGATGCAAGGGGCAAAGGGTACCTCCGCCAGTGCAGAGAGTCTGCACTTCTGTGATCAGAGCCTTCAGCTGGCCTGGGCAGCGTTATTTTTGAACAAAGGTGGTAAGAAGGGGCTGAGGGCAATGGTGCAGCAAGAGGGCAGTGCCCCTGAGAGATGGTCTCTTCCTCTACTGGCTCTCCTTCAGTGCCACTTGACTGGAACCCTGGTGGGTATGGTCTGTGCACAGGGACCGATCCAGAAGTTAACTTACCCCAAGACACCTCCTATGGCCCCAACCCCGCAGAGAAACTGAACCTCCATCTCCTCCAAGATCAGCATAGGCCAGTGCTCCGTAGCCCTGGCTCCTGGGATTACCTGGGAAGGCAGAGAACAGAGCCACTCCTGGTGGGAAGAGGAGACACCATTCCGAGTGGGGAGTGGCAGAGGCCGGAAGGGGGTGCCACTGTAAGGGTGGCCCGGCTCAGTGGCCCACTCACCTCTAGGACTGCAGACGCCACCAGCGCGGTCACCACAGACGTGGCTCCACGCACACTCGCCTCACGTCGCCGCTTTCTCGGCCGGCCGGCAGCTCAGACCAGTAGAGACGCCACCCCACCCCCGCCCCTGCAAAAGCCCAGTCCCAGGACACGGGGTGGGGTGAGGCGGAGGCCGCCTCTCCTGGATTTCCCCACTCACACTCCACTCCCACCGCCCGGCGTCCAGCTCCGGGGCGCGCAAGGGTTAACCTCGCAGGGGTGGGGACTTCGGCTCGATCCGCGCTGGGAGGGAGGGGAGAGGACAGGAGAGGAGGCGACGGGAGGCGCAGGGGTCAAGCCTCAGAGTCTGTCGGAGGCTCGGGTGTCTCAGGCCACCGGGCAGCCACTGGGGCACACGGTGCGGACCCCCTGCCCCAAACTTCAAGTCGGGAGTGGGGGGAAAGACGCTGGGCATCAAGACGGGTGGTCGCCTGTCAGGATGCCGCCCCCCTCTCCGGGGGCCGCTACGTCTACCCCTCCTCTGCCGTCCCAGCCCCTGCTCCGGACACTTTACTGCTTTGGGTCTGGGATGAAGCCCGGAGGCCCCACGACGACCCCGGAGTTCGAGTCGGCCGACATGGCCCTGGGTCCGCCGCGGCCCTGGGCCTGCCCGGCTGATGTGCGGCTCTGCGGCCACCTGCGGAAGCAGAAGTCCCAGCGCCGCCGCTTCTTTGTGCTCCGCGCCTACCCGCAGCGCCTCGAGTGTTACGAGAGCGAGAAGAAGTTCCGCGCCGGCCGAGCGCCGCCCAAGTTCAGCGTGAGCCTGGAGGGCGCGTGCACCATCAGTAAGCGCGTGGACGCGCGTCAGCGACACCTGATCGTCCTGTACACGCGCGACCGCAGCCTGGGCGTGGCGGCGGCCAGCGAGGCGGAGCAGCAGGCGTGGTACAGCGCCCTGCTCCAGGCGCGCGCCGCCGCCGCGGGGGGGGCCCGGGCCCAGGGGGGGGGGGGGGGGGGGTGCGGGGGAGGTGGATGATCGTGGATTTGGTTTATCCGTAGTCTGTCCCTTCCCCAGGTCTCCGAAATCAAGACCAAACGTGAAGGGTTTACACGTTTTCAGTTCCCGGGCCACAGTGAATCCAGCCTGCCGGCCCGGGATCCCCTATCACCAGACCATTGTCTCTCCAGGTCCCGACTCCCACGAAGACCCCGGGGCCTGCATCCTCGCTCCGTTTCAGGACGTCTGGCCCGTGACGCTGCGGCCCAAGGGACTCGGGCGGGCACGAGGCCTGGGCAGCGGCGACTACTGCCTGTGCCTGGGTTCCGGGGTACTGAGCCTGCTGCGGAAGCCCGGGGGCAGAAGCTCCAGGGCCTCCCGGCCATCTCCGCCGCCGGCCCTGCGCTTGTCCCTGCTCAGCGTGCGCCGCTGTGGCCATGCCGACGCTTTCTTCTTCCTGGAGCTTGGCCGCTCAGCACCCACGGGTCCCGGGGAGCTGTGGCTACAGGCGCCCGACGCCGTCGTGGCCCAAAGCATTCACGAGACTGTCCTGGCCGCCATGAAACGAATCGGGGACAGTGGTGCCGGTGGCAGGGCTGAGCCACTGCCAAGAAAGCCCCCGACGAGTGCCTCCACACCCTCTGTCCCTCAATCTTATGAGACCCCAGCCTCTGTGGCCCAATCAAGCGGCCTGTACCGTCCGGGGCGCCTGAGTGAGAGAAGCGAGCAAGCAACTCTCAAGACCCTGGCCAGGCAGGGGGCAGCAGCCTCACACCCCGAGGGGTTGGAGCTGGGCGGGGTCTACATAACCAAGGGAGCCAGGAGTGACTACGAGCCCATGGGGGGCGGCCAAACCAGTGGCTACGTGGTGATGGCAACCCCGGGCGTTCCTGCCTCAGCCAAAGCCACTTCCCACCAGCTGCTCCAGGATGGAGGGGTCACTGAATATGTGTCCATGAGCCTCTGTGCACCACGGTCCTTTTCCTCGAGCTTCTTGCCTCTTTCCTACAGGCCTGGGGCTGGGGAGCCTGGACCCGGGCTCCAAGGTCCTCATCTAGGCGTGGGAGACGACTGGGGACCCGCAGGGGCTCAGCGCTGCTTGCAGCCGCCGTCAGAGTTAGCCGGGGAGTACGTGTGCATTGAGTACGCGGCTGCCGACTACATAGGAATGGGCACTGACATCCCCGAACCCCCTGACAGCGGCCTCAACTACGTAGACCTGGACCTGGTCCCTCCCCTGGAGGTGCGAGGCGACGCCCCCGGGGCCAGGCACCGCCGACACAGCTACGCACACATCGAGTTCCAGAACCTCGGGGAGGCCCCGGTGAGGAGACCCCCGTGGCCCCTGGGTATAGCTGATGGATGGAGAGACAGACGGGAATGGACGAAGAAAAAAGGGCAAAGTTAAGAATGCCTTCCTGCCCACCCCGCTGAACCCCACAATCCCCTTCCGCCCGATGGAGAGGCTCTACAGCCCAGATGTCCCCTAGGACGTGTGACCAGCAGAAGCGCTGAGCTGCCCCTTAGGACGGGCTGCCTAAGGGCTCTGCCCCTTCCAACTGTGGCGCCTGGGAAGTCTTCGGGAGGAGGTTCCCCAAGAAGTTGGATTCTTTTAAGGGAGAAAATTCTAGAACTCTTCCCCCCTTAAAACAAAACCCCTACAAATTTCTGGACCTTCTCAGCCAAAGCCCTGACCCTCTGTTTCCCCACAGAGTTCCTGCAGCATCGCTCCAGAGTCTCAAGTAAGCTTTGGCCCCACACCCTGCCTCCAATGACGACCACGAAGACAGAGATCTACCCCTCCCCCCCCCACACCTGCTGTGTTTGCCTGGTGTCGGCTGAACTCCTGGGACCCCAGAGCAAGAAGGATGAGAGCAACAGGTATCTTACACTAGGTGCCCTCCCAAAGTGATGACACCCCCTACCCCCTACTTTGCCTCTCCCAACACCAGCTATGTGCTCACACAATTCTCCTTCTCCCGGGCCTGGCAGAACTGATGGAGTCCTTGCTTCTAATATACTTAATCTAGTCTAGGGGTCTATACTGTGCACCCCACCCCCATTAAAGTTTCCCTGCTGGGTGAGCCTGGAAAAGTCTAGGTCCATGGATTCCCCTGCCCGACTGTAAGGGAAATGAGTAACAAGAATCTGAGGAGAGAGCAATCAAAGCCGTGGTGGAAGAAGAGACCCTATCCCTGCCTCCTCGCCTCACTCTGCTATCTGCCACAAGGAGCCTGTTTGCAAACCAACACTGTTTATTGTCAACAGAACCTGCCTGGGGAAGTAAGGGGCCCACTCTCCCCCAGAGGGGCTATGGACCTTGGCTGTCTGGGGCCCGTGGGAGAGATGGGTCCATGCAGTGACAACAGCTCTGGCCACCACTGGCACCTGAGTGGTCAGAGGCAGGGTCTGGGGGGCCAGCAGGGGGCATGGGAGCCCCCGGGGAGCTGGGTCTTGGCTCCCCCTGGCTCATCTGCAGGAGGCCAGTGAGGGCGATCAGCTCAGGCCCACTGAGCCAGGCGGTGGAGCAGCCAGAGGATGGAGCAGGGAGGACCCTGGGGGACATGACTGGGGGTGGGAGCAGCAGCTTCAGAGAGCCCATCACCTGAGGAGAAAGGAGAGGCAAGTGTCTCCCCCCGAGCCCTGCGTGAAGGCTGGGGTGAGGCCAGGGCAGGAAGAGCGCTCACCTGCTGACGGGCCTGAGACAGGTACAGGGGAACACGCTGCCCACAGGGCAGCAGATGGTCAGAAAGAAAGACATCTTCACAGCACATCACCGGGAACCCTGGGGAGGAGAAGCTGCTAGGGTGGCAAGCGCTGCACTCGTTCTCCACGGAGCCTGAGGGAACCAAGGGCCATACCTGCATCCCTGGGCACCTGCTCTCCACTCTGACGTCCCGCTAGACTGGGCCTGAGGCCTCTGCCTGAGGCTGCCTCGTACACAGGGCAGAATGAGGGATGGCGCAAGGTCCGGCCTGAGAAGGAGGTGCCTGACTCACAGCTGAGTCCCTGCGGAGGAATGAGAAAGATTCCTGGAGCTTCAGCCCCTTCCCAAGGCATCCCTGCCCCACCCGAGGCTGGTGCCACAGGTACCCCCAACTCACCCACACCAGCTGAGGTCCCGGTTTAGCTTCACAGTTGGGGTCCTGTGGCGCCAGCAGGGTCATCCTTGACGGGGCCACCTCCCAGGTCATCTGGGGGGGTAGGGGAACTGGGGGGGGAGGACTTGAGATTAAAATCGACTCAGGAGTCGGTAAAAGGGTCTTGGGGGTAAAGATGGCAGGACCCTGTACCTACCTGGGGTTCCCGGTGACCGCTCGGCAGCCAGGCCTGGGGGCGGCCGAGGCAGCTGCTGCCCTTTCCGGGTCCAGGAAGGCCTTCGGGACCAGGGCTGAGGACTGGGAAGGGGCGGTACTGAGATGCTTCGGTCACAGCCTCCCGCAATCACCTCCCTGCTCCAAGTCTGAATACTTCCAAGGCCGGGCCAAGGGTGCCCGGTGCGGGGAGACTGATCATACCCTTTCTTCACTACTAGGGACAACTGAGATCTTCTCACACTGTGGGCCCCCGCGGGTTTTGCCCAAATGCCGCTGGCAGAGCCCCTCACCTGTCCTGTGGGGTTGTTCTTGGCTCCCGCAGGGCTTCCTCTCCAGAGTCCCAGGCCTGGCCGGGGTCGCTGCCCGCCGAGGGGCCTTGTTCCTCGGGCGCCTGCTCCTCGCCCGCGCCCCACCGCCGGGGGGTCCAGGGCAACATGCCGCGTCCACGGAGAGGGCAGGTCAGGGCCCCGCGCCGCCCGCCTGGCACCTCCCGGCTCCCACTCGGGCGCAGCCTCCCTCAGCGGCCCGCGCTGCCCTGCGCGCCCAGCTTGCGGCCCACCTCGCAAGGCTTCGCGGCGCAGGCGTCCAGCGCGTTTCCGGGCCACGTGGCGCACGGTCCCGCCGGGAGCCCGCGAGCGCCCCCTGGCGGCGCGGACGGCGGGGCCGCACGGAAGGGTGAAAACGGCCAGAGGGAACTGCGGCGCCCGCACGTGTGAGGCTACACCGTCCCCGGCACGCACCGCTTTCGTTCGCAGACACACACACACACACACACACACACACACACACAGCTAAGGGGCAACCTAGAGGGCTTCCGGCTTCCGTTTATTGCACGTGACACGACACCCAGCCCCCAGTCTTCCATCCCAGACCCTCGACCACGCCCAGAGGCGGCCTCGCGCCTTGCTGGGCCAGCCTGCTTCCAAGCTCCCGGGCAGACAGGTGCCCGAGGCACAGGGCCAGGCCCGAGGCCGCCCTCACCAGTCCTCACTAGAGAGCAGAGCCCAGGTGTGGCTGTCTTCTCTGTTCCTGGGGTTCCCGCCGGGTCGGGCCCCTGCACCCCGACCTCAACCCCTAAGGCCGTTCCAGCAGTGCATGGATGACAGCAGCGATGTAGGGGAGGCCCCTTCCCGGGGCCCCCTCCTCTTCCAGGATGTGGTGGGGCTGGCACAGGGACTCCTACAGGGAGGGGCCCAGGTTAAGTTCCCCTTGTCACCTCCTCCTCTCAGCTGTAGGGTGGGAGACACCCTAAAGGAGCCTGGGCAAAGGAAGCTAACAGAATGTAGCAGGCAAGGGTCAAGGGCACCCTGGACATGGCTTGGGGACAAATGAGATGCAAGGAAGCTGCCAGAGGATAACAGAAGGGAGATGACACAGGGGGTCAAGGCTCAGAGGGAAGGACAGACCTGCCATTTCCAGAGGGAAATGCTGGAGTAGGCAAGCTGGCACATAGAGCCCAGGAGACACGGCCAGGGATGGGCCCCCGTCACAGCAGGAGCAGACGCAAACACACACACACACACACACACACACAGGCAGCCACGGTCTGTACAATTTATACAAGAGACAGAGACCCAGCCTGGGCCCCTGCATCCCCTACAAATATAGAGTTCTCTCTACAAAATATAGATAATTTAGCCCCCTATAGCAGCTGGGGGGGGGGATGGTGCAAGGAGGAAGGTTAAGACCCACCCTCTAGGGAAGCAGAGGGCAGGGCAGGGAGAGGACTTAAAAGGCACCATCAGCACTGAGAAGGGAGGGGCTACAGGAGGGTGGCCAGAGGCTGGGGGCCCAGGGTCTGGGGGCACCAGAGTGGGGCCTCTGAGGTCAGTGTTTATGAGGGGAGGGGGGTTCACTAGTGTCTTTGGTAGGGGCTGAAGGCACCACCGGCGGGGAAGGGGGTTTGCACAGGAGTCTTATAAATAGAAGTAGGGCAAGGGGGTAGGGGAAGGGGTGACTTCAGGTCCTAGGAACCCAGGAGCCGAGTGTAGACGACACAGAGCAGCAGCATGAGGACCACGTAGAAGAGGATGAAGCCTCCCAGACCAGAGGGGGGCCAGAGGGGCGGGGGGTACCTGCCCCCCGCCCGCTTCACAGCCTCCAGGGTGGTCCACAGCCCCTGGGCAGTGCCCTGGAGGAGATCCGAGGGCGAGCACAGGTCAGCCTGGGAAGGGAGAGTAGGACAGATGGACAAGGACAAAGGACAAAAGACGTCAGCAGCAGCAGCAGCAGCAGCAGCAGCAGCCAAGACAATCCTTCCCACCCCCTGCCCTCACGTGCCAGGGCCAGAGCCACGCCAACATGCAGAGTGCAAGGAAGGGAGGCATGCAGGGGAGACATGCAGAGTGCAAGGAAGGGAGGCATGCAGGGGAGACATGCAGAGTGCAAGGAAGGGAGGCATGCAGGGGAGACACGCGGGACAGGGGCTGGCGGATGTGCTTCCTGTTGAGAAGCAGACACCCCCCGTGAATGGAACCCTGCCATCCACGCAGGGTGCCCCGCTGAGCCCAGGACACTGCACCCTTTATAGGAGAGACCAGCCCTGGGCCCCTGAGAACACACCCCCATACCTCAGGCACCCCCATTTTTCGACAAGCTTCTAAGAAACTCTCCACATTCTTCCGAGACTTGAGGGCACTGAGTTTTGGCTGGGGGTGGGTAAGAAAGGAAAAAGAGAGTAAGGGGGAGGCCCCAGGAGGCCCCGTCCCAACCCCTACTTCCTGCCTGGGCCCCAACTGACCACAGCAGGTGAGGGCACGTGAATGAAGGGCACGGAGCGGGGCCGCAGCTGGTTGGCCAGCTGACAGAGGATGACCCCATTGGCTAGAGCCTCTGCCAGGTCCTCGGGTAGGGGCCGCTGCAGCTGGGACTCAAGCACCTGGGAGGCAGGGGAAGGAGGGGGAGAGGTCAGGGTCAGCAGGGAACGCCCTCCTGCCCCTTCCGTCTCAGGGGAGGTACCAGGGTAGGCAAAAAGGCTGTTGAGGGAAGCCGGGAACCTCCAGGCACCACGCGGAGCCCAGGCTCCACCCACGCAGATCCCACCTCTCATACCTGGCGCAGCTGAGCCATCACCTCCTTTTCGTCCAAAAGCTGGGGGGATCGCCGAGGTCTCAAGACAGAGTCTGGTGAGGAAGGGCCTGGAGAGAGAGGAGGGTGTGGGGCCGCCTCCACTACGCACCATCGACCTTGCAGCCCGGTCGCAGGGTCTGGCACCCACATCACCTGCCTCTGCGCTTGTGGGATTTTAAACACAATGGGACAACTGACCAGAGAACTCCCAGGCCAGAAGGGACGGCCCCAGCGCCGGGGTTAGTGCTGGATTAGCACCGGGTTAGTACTGGGGAGGAGGGAAGACCCACCTGAGCTGCTCTGAGAGGAAGAACGGAAGAGGAAGCTGTTTGGTCTCTGAATGGAGCTGAGCGGCCGGGGAGCAGGTGCGGTCGCTGGGGG